CTGAAATCAAAGGTACGCCACGCAATGACACGACGCACACGCAAACACGAGAAAGGCTCACTCTTTGGTGCCTCCTTGCAGAAAAGCAGCAGCTCCAGTTCCGGCTGCTCGAGCGGAAGCGGGCACAGGAGCACCAGAGGACCGCAGCCAGCGCCGTCCTCTTCAGGAACGGCAAGTTCGGGTACGTCCGTCGGGAGAGCTCCTGTGTTGCGTGCGATGATCGCGCAGCTCTCCTCACCACACTTCTCTCTCTCTTTTCACCATGATGACTAGTCGTCCACACGAGCCACGAAGGGAAGAAGGCCAAGAAGAAGCGGACGCTGGTGCCCGAGTTCGAGGTCCTCGGGTGGCGGTCCTCGGATGGCGGTCCTCGGATGGCGGTCCTCAAGCGCGAGCGACGTGGCCGGCACCCGCTGCGCCCCTCCGGCGCTTTTTTCGTTCTCTTTTTCGTTCTCTTTTTCTTTTCTTTTTCTTTTCTTTTTCTTTGTTTCTTTTCTGTGACCGCGGAAGCTGCCGTTGAGAGATAGCATGGGGGGGGGCCTGCAAGGCCGCCGTGACCGGGCTGTTAGGCAAGCCACCACCACTGCGGTGGTAGGTACCCTTTTGGGTGGCCAGGATTGGGACCCGTTGCTCTCTGCCGGCCACACGTGGGAGGCCACGTCAGCTCGAACCAGGAGGAGGCCGAGGCCTTTTCTGGAGGAGGCCGAGGCAGTTAGGCCTTTTCTATACGCCACCACGTGTCCGCGAAGATGATGGCGGCCAACGTTTTAAAGGGTGTAAATGGTTTATCTCTCTTCATGATCGTTCGTGGCTCTGCGCGTATCGTTCGAGCATGATGAGAGATTCGCTTCGCACTTCCCGGTTGGCGGGGTTGGGGGCCTCTAGCTTCTTCTTCACCTTCTTCGAGTCCTTCCTCTTCCGTCCCTTCTGGTTCAGCACCCCTGGTCGGTGCGGTATTGCGCGTGTCGCACCGAGTGTGGTGCATGTGGCGCGTGTCATTCAACACAACCAAGAGGCCAGAGAGGGGGGAGGGTTGTTGATGTGTGAACCGTGCGAACCTTGTTCGTATTCTTTGTACAGGTCGCTGTCGAGGAAGCGCGGGAAGCAGTCAGTCTCGAGAAGGTTGAAGATGGAATGCTGGATCTTGTTGAACACGTCCGGATTCGCTCCGGCCAACGACGCGTCCAACTGCCGCTTCTGGTCGTTCGTGATGTTTATCTGACGATGTTTGTATTCGTTCGGTGCAGGTAGGGTCAAAATAAAGAAGATTTTCTCACCAACACCAGGTGTCCACTTGCAGCCCAGGAAGGCAGGTTAGTTACCTCGTAATCGGAGCTGGGGCGGAAGTACTTGCCATAGATCTCGTCGGCGCGCTTCTTACGCTCCTCTCGCGGCAGGCCCTTGTAGTCCTCCACCGCCACCCAAAACGCCAGGTTCCTGAACGGAGCACAGCCGGTATGTGGTCAGCCTTGTGGTTAAATAATAATATTCTTTTTCTTATTTGCAGAATAGAATAACCAACAGAATTGAAACAATTAATAGAATAGGGAGGGAGTGGTCGTACTCGTTGGAGTACCACTTGTGGAGGTATTGGCGGAAGCTGAGGGCCAGCTCCCGGTTCTCCAGCACCTCGAGCAGGGAGGGCCGCGGCAACTTCTCTTCTTTCTTCTTCTCCCCGCAGTCTTTGCTCTTCTTCTGCTCACCGCACCCCAAGAAATCAGGTGAGCGCAACAGCCCACATGTCGGCCTGGCAAGATGAGGGCAGCGCACCATGGTGGCGGATGTGACAGTCCTTGTGGGGGGGGGGCTGCGCCCGGAGAGAGTTGGG